CCTTTTTTTTTTCTTTTTTTTTTTCTTTCCGATACCCACATTTTGTGTCTGTTGTTTTGTTTAACTGACGACTTTTACTATTTCAATTTGATATCTTGTGCCGAATTTGGGGATTATGAAAATGGAATCAGCAAATTAATTTGGTGTATTTACGTTTCAATTGACTTGTTACTGAGATCCCATAACCTAATTTTTGCCCAATTTTTCTGGTCTTTTTTTGCTTGTTTATTCTCTACACCTGAGGCTGATACTTGATGATCTAAGTTGTTTAACTTTGATTGATTTTTTGAGTTTTACATTTCCATCACTGTACAAGTGTTTGAAAGGTTTTGGCACTTGAATGATGTTTTGTGATTAATAACTGCTTGGGCATCCTTTTTGGTGACAAATTGTCAGTAATTATAATGTATCTGATTTCAGTTAGTTCTGTTAATATGGATATGGCAAAGGTTTCTACGCACTACACCACTACTTGTGTATGTAATGTAAACATCTTTTGAATGGCTTTGTTTTATAACCCTTATAGCTTACATCTTTAATGGAGTATTATGTTTTCTTCAAAGTATGCTCTGTTTTACTTTAGGGAACTGCCCAACAAAGACGTGTCAAACTGCTGTGTTGGACATCCTTTGTCCACTAAAGTTGGCGTTAAGCAAGCAATATCAGGTCTTGCAGCGTCGATAATATTGCTATCTCACACAAATCTGGTTAGTGCATTATTACTGTCACACACACACATAATCCAGTTTAGGCAAATGAGAGAAGAAAATTCTCCAAACTAAAGTTTTGTTCAGTTGGGCAGGCTTATTGATGGAGACGAGCTTGCTTTGGCGTTTATGGAAAAATACGAGCGTCGTAGACGTCGTGCATGAGTTGCATGTTTATGTGACTCTTCATATTATTATTTTATCTTAAAGTTAGTATGGAAGTTTGTAGTAGTCAAAGTACCAAAATCAAAGAGACATTCAACATTAGCTAAAAACTAGAAACATTATTAGGGGCACTCAAAAAGTCACAAGAATTCTTATAAATTATGTAATCATATGATGAAAAAGGGGTGAATGATTGAATAAAATTACATTATTATCGAGTATTCTATACTCTCGTGTCTTTCGTACGCTTTCGACTGCATCACTTATGCGGCAAATCATTCTCATGGAAATATATGCCAGCTTGCAAATGCTGCTGAGGATAACAGGTTAAATCTTGCTTCGGACAATGGAGAAAAAAATGGAATGCTGATGGCAATGAGAGGCATGACAGTGAACAACTTTGATCCAGCCAGGTATGCTGGAAGATGGTTTGAAGTGGCTTCCCTTAAACGAGGTTTTGCTGGCCAAGGCCAAGAAGATTGCCACTGCACTCAGGTTATCATCTTGTTACTTTCTGAAAAAAAAAAAAAAAAAAAAAAAAATACAAGCCTTTTTTCTATTGTGGGTCTTTGGGTTGAAATTTTACTCAGGTTTTTTGAATTATAATGTTACTCACATTAAATGCAGGGAATTTATACGTATGATCAAGAAACACCTGCAATCCAGGTTGATACGTTTTGTGTTCATGGAGGACCAACTGGTTATATCACAGGTATAAGGGGAAAGGTTCAGTGCCTTTCTGTGGAAGATAAGGGGAAAGACGAAACTGACCTTGAAAGGCAGGAGATGATTAAGGAGAAGTGTTACCTTCGTTTTCCTACTTTGCCGTTCATACCCAAAGAGCCTTATGATGTGATCGCAACTGATTATGACAATTTTGCCCTTGTTTCTGGAGCAAAGGATACAAGTTTTGTACAGGTAGCCATATACCTCCCAATATTTTCTACTCTCTTTTATATTTTGGTTTTAGATTAAATTCGTATTTGATTATCAAAATTCATATATTAAATATCATATTTGGCAGATATACTCAAGAACGCCCAACCCAGGACCAGAATTCATCGAGAAGTACAAATCATATTTGGCAAATTTTGGTTATGATCCCACCAAAATCAATGATACTCCACAGGACTGTGAGGTGATGTCGAACAGTAAGCTCGAAGCAATGATGTCCATGTCTGGTATGCAACGAGCTCTCACAAATCAGTTTCCTGATCTTGAACTAAAATCACCACTCGAGCTTAATCCATTTACAAGTGTTTTCGATACTTTTAAGAAACTTGTCGAGCTTTACTTCAAGCAGTGATATAATACTGTAATGCAAAACCTTTCTGTATGTGAATGTGATTTATTTACTGGCATTGTTTGTGACCGATATCTTATTCTTCCCCCTTCTCATGCTTTGTATATGTATTTGAAAACAATTTTTTTTTTGCATTTGCATGAAGTGGCAAAGAGAAGATATTCCATTTTCATTCAGTTCACCAATTAACCTCAAATAAAATCAAACTGTCGGAAGTTGGTATTATTAATTTCTAATGTGCATTTTTAGATTATTTTGAAAAATATCTTTCCATTCAATTGTTTTTAACTAGTTAACTGGTTGCATGTTAGTATCAAGAAAATCTCTACTTGTATATAAGAAAATGTAAAGGAGCCCCGCTAACAACTGAAATCAGAAAATACTTGAATAAAACTCTCAAGTTGAAAATCCTGATTCACACGTCAATCACATTGTCATTTTGGCTTGAAAGCTCCACGATTATTCTCATTTCCCTTCCACAGTATGATCTGCTCGTCTTTGAACAAGAGAGGAACGCAAGGAACCAGATCCTGTATGAAAAATTGGACCGTAAGGACCACAAAAAACTCCTCTGATAAGAAAATATAAATTGTGCACAAAAATAGTTATAACAAATAATGGAACTTCGATTAGCTTCCATACTCTTAGTTTGACGCCAATCCTCTTGCAGTCGCTTTTGCCCACATGAGCACAGTCTAACCTCACGACATCTTCAGTTTCAAACGCTGTTCTCACTCTCTCAACAACGTTTACATACACACCGTTCCTCGCTGCAAACAAACAAAAAGGCTAACATTAGGCAGACTAAGGATATATTTAGTAAAATTAGCTGATAAGCTAGCTTATGGCTATATTTGGTAGACAAATATCTAGCTTATTTGGTTAGCTTATAAGCTTCCTATATTTAAATAAGCTTCGTTTGGTAGGACGTGCTTTTTCAAAACACTTGAGCTTATCTCATAAGCTTCTTTGGGTAGCTTTTCAAATAAGTTCATTGAAATTTTTATTTCAGCCCTTATCAGCTAATTTTACCGAACACTTTTATCATATAAGCTTTAAAATTACTAATAGCTTATTTGGTTACCCTAAACATAGCCTAATAAGTCACACATGAAGCTTATAAACTAATAGCTTATTTGATTACCAAACATAGCCTAATATTTTAAATTACTGAATCTCACAACTTGACAATTCAATAAATTTACTAAGTTTCATAAGTGGAGGAGAGGTAAGTCCTCTATTTCGCTTCTCTTTAGTTTGTTCGAATGTCAGACCATCAGCAACTTTCTTCACCAGCTTGGGATATATTGGTGGATATGGCTTCCATAACATCGGTGGGATCTGAGGTCGTTTTCTAGGATCATAGTTGCGCCCACGATATAAAAGGAGGATATTTATGTGGCGATATATAATCTTCCCGCCAGATTTGTCCTACAAACATGCTGCGATCTTTATTAGACAATGATCTTATACAAATTCGTAGAAATATTTGAGTAGTATTCGGAGTTTTGAAACCTCGAGATGGAAACAGATGTTGTCCATGTCAAGTGTTGGCACTCCCAAACATTTTATTCTCACTGCCTCTGCTCGTTTCCAATGGTTATGGATATCTTCAAGTGAATTGTGTGTAACACCTCCTTTACCTGGCATTATCGCAATTCACAAGTGCATTTTGTTTCTTTTTCAATATGAATGTAAAAGAAGTTCGGAATAAAAAGTAATCAGTTCGCAACTCTGACAATATAATATGCGAAGCGATATTGCTCTCTGAATCCATAATATTGAAGATCTTTTGTAGTTCTATCCCTACTTGATTGTTCATGCATCTCATCTCATGCTTTATTAACATTAATGTCAGCATTAGGCATGAGACTAATAAGAGATGATTACAGTTGTCGACATTAGAATTCTACGAAGATAAACTAGTCCAAAGAGACCTCTCCACCCACAACCCAAAAAAATAACTTGTAACAAAAATCAGACAATTCAGAATAAAAGATTAATGGAGACTTCCTGCGGAAGAAGTTTTGTCTCAGGAAATTTGCAAATATACCACATATGTGACATCCTTTTTAAAAAAATGTCACCTTTTTTGGTCCTCATAACAGTTGTTTTTGGTCGTCATACACAAAATTGGTCTTTTTCTAACATAGGTTCCATAAAAAGGTATCGGGGTAATGTATTTAGAATCCCAATCCTTATCTAATTAGCCAAACCACAATGCAACTCTCATTAGTCCCACCCAAAACACACATCACCACACAGGCATAAGATCTTATGAAACAGATGAAGAGAGAAACTGAGATGTGAATAATCAAGAAGCACCAAACTAAATATAGCATCCTCATAGATCGATCGATCGATCTTCATTAAACTAAAACCAGAGAAAAATATACATATTTTGTGCATTTTAACTATTCTTATCCTCCGAATCCCATTTCACGGCATATACAAACTACTCATTCGTGTGACTAAGCTAAGAAGAAAGATCCCCATGTTGAGAGTTGCAAGCTCCATAAAGAATGATCATATTCGAGCCTTTTATTGAATACGGACATGATGAATTGCAAATAAGTAACTCATTTCCATGAATTAAATACAAAATTACTTGTCATAAGTTAACTAGGAATTTTCCATACATACAAAATGTGGTTATTGTAAATACGAAGTCACACAGAGCCAAAAGTGTATCATTTCCTTTACTTTTTCAGAGGCAGCTCTTGGCACAACACACAGCTAATTGCAGAATTAACACAGAGAGAGTGAAGAAAAGGGGGAAATTCTGATTTACCCAAATTGATTTGGCGGGAGCAATCGGAGTGGCGATACTTGTCCACCAGCTCGGCGATCTCCTCCTCTGAGAGCGGGTCTCCGAGAATCTTTTCCCTCTCCTCCGTGAGCTTGTCAACGTCGAGCTTGTGCTTGGCGGGGGCACAAACCCCATCCCAGTCCCGGTCAATTCGGCCCGGCCCGAATGGGGAGAATCTCGGGGGTTCGCGGAACCCAATCGGCTTAGCGCCCTGGCTCGACTCTGAGTAAGAGTACATGAAATCGAAAGGCAGCTCCGAATTCTCTCCGGCCCCATCCGAATTACTCGCATGTGGTTGCGAGATGGTTTTGGGTCTCTTGTCAGATTGTTGTTGGTCCTGTGAAGGTGGAGACGGGCGTCCGGAAAGGAAACGAGAGATTAAGAGGGACGGCCGCGAGCAATTCGTATTCGTAAGAATTGAGCGACGCCATGAGAAGAGCTTCACCATTTCTCAACTGTGCAATTTTGTTCAAATGAGGGATAGGATTTATTAGGAAAAAAAAAAAAAAAAAGATGCTCATGAAAATAATTTTATACTTACTTTTTAAATTAAAATGACTGGGAATATAATGATTTACAATGTAAATATTATGTTTCTGATATAATATCATGTGAATTCATATTTAAATACTAACATGTACAAAAACATAATTGGACCAAAATTAAACATTTTACTTGTAATAATGTAATTAGTAAATTCATTTCACCAATAGCCAACTAATTAAGGCGACAAAAATGGGCTTTTTAAACGAAAAGAGGGGGAAAAAAAAGAGGAAAAGAATAAAGAAAATCTTGACAAAAATGGGAAGTCATGAAAAAAAAAAATGAATTCTTTTCATCTCCCTCGTTAAAAGGCGCCGGCGGCAAATCCCAAAAATTGAATGAAAATTTTCCGTCCACTGCACGCTGTTCGAGCTTATATTTTAAGTACAGAAACTAACTGAACAATTCTTTATTGACTATGGCGTACTATGATTTTGATCCCCCATCCTTCTCTCTGGGTCTCGATCTGGAGACTCGACCCGACCCTTTACCCCAACCAGCTAAACGCCCTTCAACGTCGGCCAGTCCCCGTGAAGTAGAGGAAGACGATTACAATGATGCTTTCAAAACCCCCGTTAGGGTTACCGACCAATCTCGTGCTTTCAAGAGGCTTCGCCGTGGACCCAAGGCTGTCCGGCCCGCACTTGAGCCCCGAAGGGCGGAGTCTATTGATGGGCTGTTCGATGTAATAGAGGAAATTGAGGATTTCTCTTCAGATGAAGATTGCCCCAGAGGTACTGAATGATTCCAACTTTCATATGGCTTCTTGTTGATTACTTTTGTAAATGAGGGTTTTTTTGGGAACATATAGAAATTATGTGTAGCTTGTGTTGCTTTTATTTTCTGATTCGATGAATAATCGGCCCAGAGGTACTGAATGATTCTAACTTTCATTTTGTTGCTTCTATCTTTTGAGCTTTGGATGTTGTAATGATAGAATAAGATGTGAGAAGCAGAATTATATTCATCAAGATGAAAAGCTACAGCCTTTATGGAAATATAGCTTCAATGTGAATATACCACACGGTCTCATTGTAAAGATGTTTCTTGAAATGAATGTTTCATTTGAAAGCATTATCATTGTGGATTGTGGTTTCACTTCTGCGTCTCCTTTATTGGCTTATGTTGTTTGACCAGTCGTGTTACGTGTCTGCTGATATGATAATTTTGTGAATTTAAAATGTTGTTTTCTGTTCTAAACTGCAGGAAGAATAAATTCTGTATGTAGCAGTTCGAAACCTTCATTGTTGCACAAGCAAGGGGTTGTAACTACAGAATCTGGAACCCAATTTAAATCAAACAAGGACAATGAAGTTCCGTATGTGTCGGCCTCAAAGAATGTAGAAATAAATGACGGTGACACAATTAATCCTAAATTGACAGTAAGTCCTGTTAGAAGATACCAGTTGATTGATTCTGATTCTGATTCCGATGATCCTTCCATGATTCAAGATCCTTGCAAAGAAGAACCTGTTGTAAATTTGTCACTGCCAAAGAATGAACATCCAAATTCTAGCTTCGCTACGAGGATGAGAACAGAGTCAACTAGCAACTCTAAAAGTGAAGACTTATGGAAGGACTTCCATTCTGATCATAAAAGCCTCCGTGTGCCTACACCTGCATTTGACGAGCTCTTGGAAGAATATTTCGACAATGCTAAAAATAAGAGTAAACCAGAAAACAGTTGTAAGGATAGTTACAACGAGACTAAATTGGACAAGCAAACACATCCTCCTGCCCATGGCTACTTTTTCCACAGAGATTTAAGAGTTCAGAAACTAGTTCGTGATCGTTTACCATACTTCTTCCCCTTGGGAGTTGGAAATAACAAAGAATACGAGCAACAAAATGGGCTGGCGATTGATTACTTGTAAGGCCATTAAATAGTGTTGTATTACTATTAATTATCTAGTTTATACTTGTCTTTCATATGAACCATTGCATTTGTATTTTAGGGGCCAATTTTGTCATGAAGACAGTAAGCAGACAAATCAGAAGCGAAATATTGAGAAAAGTTCTAGGGGAAAGGGAAGCAAGAGACCTGTAAAGCAATCACATGTTCAGAGTGTATCAGAAGCTTCTACCAGCTGGGTGAATCCAAGAACTTGTGCTGGCCTTCAAAAGAATGGCGGCAGCAGAAGGGTGCAAGCAGTGAGTAAATCAGCTGGTCACTGGTACACGGGGCCAGATGGTAAACGCGTAAGTTTCAATTTTTTTCATGTGCAGATCATAAGATGGTTTGCATTGATGCTAATAATTCTTGCTATCCTTGATAATTTATTTTCCTTAACTTCTGAAATATTCGGTTCCATAAGAAAGAAACTAATTTCCATAAGAAACTAGTTTCCTTAACTTCTGAACTGCTCAATACTTTTCAGGTTTATGTGAACAAACAGGGGAAGGAGTTAACTGGTCAAATTGCTTACAGGCATTATAAAAAGGTACTTACTGATGAGCATTTTGGGATGTACTCCCTCCTTTTTTAAATAAATGTCGTTTTGACTTTTTTGATTCATCCATTTTGCTATGTATCTAGACATATTAATGTCTAGATACATAGCAAAATGGATGAATCAAAAAAGTCAAAACGACATTTATTTAAAAAAGGAGGTAGTATTTGTTTATGAGATGTGTGGCTGTGTATAGTACACTCCATTTGCCTAAACAACTGACAATGACAAATGGTTTTGTGTTTTGCGTTCAACAGGTTATGTCTTATGCATTAGACACATGCATTAGACACCATTTTTTTTTTATTTTGTTTTGCACAATTTTCATATTTATTTAGAATTACTGTATTTGACAAATGGTTCTTTCGTTTGTCATTTCATTGTTATCGTGATAAACAGGAGAGTGGAATGGGTTTCAAAACATCAAAGAAGAAAAATTCTGCAACAAAGAAAGCTGCTGCAAACAAGTCTGCTTCAAAGAAGAAATGAATTAGACTACATTTATGTGCCGTGTACATATTCCTAGTTCGTTATCTGATTTGTCTTTTCCAGTATGTCCCTTAGTTACTATTATCTTGTCTAAGTTGGACTATCCGGAAACTGGGGGCTTGGTTATAAATCAAGCTTATGAATAACATACACATAGTTGAGAGTTATGTTGCAATTTGTGGGTTTGCACATTAAATGAGTTCTCTCATAAATGTAGTTTCGAGCTATTGCTTTTATGCAGTATTTTTGAATCAGCAATGAAGAGATGTCTCATGTCTCTATTCGACCAAACATGTTATATGAGATGGTGTAAGAAGTAGCAAAATGTGAGTTGTAGAGAATGACAAAATTATTGAGTTGACTTGGTCAACTAAAGCCTATAGGGAGAGTTTGGGATTTGATTCCCTAGCTAATCCTGTTGATACTAACATTATTGTGACAGACTAATTAGTAGCATATATCTCCTCATTCTTGTTGGCACATCTATTTTTGGTTGCTTGGATTGTGACTTTGAGTTTGTAACATTGTATCAGCTTTGGCTTTCACACTAACTTTCCACAAGTTATTTATTATTATTATGAGTTATGTAACTAACATTATACTTTCTATTCAATCAAAATTGATTATTTTGTTATCAATTTATTGATTTGTTTATTTCCCATTTTTTTTCTCATATAATTACAAAATAAACGGATAGATAATTATACATATGGATAGATAACTATACAAAACAAACTTATCTCTGTCATAGTACAACATATGTATTATGTAGTATAGAATATAGACTCACACACACATCCATAGAAGTCTTTTAAACTACTTGTTTAATCAATACACCACATGAGAATATATATATATGCTGCATGCGCCTACACATGATCAAAACCTGAAACTATAATCACTCAATTGGGTTTCTAGGCTCAAGGTAGTTGCCCCCCGTGTAATTAGTTGCCGTAACACTCGAGCCGGCTGCAGCTGAAAGATCGTCACCAATTTCTGCAGTGGAGACGGACGAGTAATCGTCACACCCTAATTGCTCATTTCGATCCTCCCTAGAACTGCTCGTGAAATACGGCAAATCGACATCAATATCACTAGTGCTCGACAACAATTGTGCATACTGCTCGAGACCCGGAAATGAGTTGCGTAGTAATGTGGGGTCCGATTGAGGAGATATTTCCGGTGGAGGAAAGCTATTGTTCGGGTCCTTATAAATGTCATCTCTGATTATTAGTTGATGATGACGAGCAGTAGCCGCAGTAGTAGTATTACTTAGGTCGTGGCTCATATAGCCCGATTGGACTCGTTCGGGGAAATTGAGTTTGGCTTTCGACCCTTTGAATTTGAAAGCAGCATTGTCGTACGCGAGGGCAGCTTCCTCGGCCGTGTCGAAAGTGCCGAGCCAAACACGTGCAGCCTTATTCGGGTCTCTTATTTCGGCGGCCCATTTGCCCCAAGGCCGTTGCCTAACACCTCGGTAGTGTTTCTTGACATGTCGTCCTTCTCCGACTTTTGTCCAAATCATATATGACACAATAACAATTCATGATGATTAGATTAACTTTGCGTAACATTGATTAAAATTACTTAATATCACCCGAGTGTACTGAGTTTGAGCTTATGATACTGGAGCCCGAACTCAAGAGCTTATTAATTATTAGTTAGATAACAAGTCCTAACGAGCTGAATTATGTTAAAAGATGGAGAGATTATGTAAAAGAAAACCCTAATTAATTATTGTCAAGCCTAACAAGCAATAGAAAGTCAATCCCTAAACGAGTCTTAAACGAGCTCTAACTTGACTCCGTTTGGTAGTTCATTCAAGCGTTATTAACAAACTGAGCTCACGATTTGATAATTCATTTCCGTTCCTAGGGAAAGGAACACACACACACACAAACACACACACAACCAACACAATTATAACCAATGTGAAAACTTAATTGACAATATACCATGAAATAGTATGGACCATTAGTTAAACAGCCGCTGCTAAAATAATAAATATGAACCATTGCCAAAAAAAAAAAAGAAAAAAAGGCACTAAATTATATATATATATGAACACGATCGATAAGATCTTCATGTTGGTGACATTTTCGGCGGTGTAAAGGGTTTCACATGTGATATGTCCAAATAATAATTAATAAAAAAGATGTATTATTTTGTAGTACACATTCTATTGTAATAAGTAAAAGTTACACACATGTATATATGTCCAATTTTCTGAAAAAGAGTACAAAAATATATATCTATCTCTCAAAGCAATCCAATTGATTAAATGATTTGTTAGGCAGTATTAGTAATGTATTGACTATTGAGTGAGAGAGATAGTCCTTTACGGAAAGTAACAACAAATCATCATTTTTGCTCTTTTTTTTTTTTCACTTAAAAACTTTATTATATTGAAATTTTAATCGATGATTAACACACAATCTGATCTGATGATGATGCAGTTAGTACTGATAGGATATCGATTAATGAACAACCTTAAATAATATTATAATAAATTTTAGAAATATTATTATCTTCTCTCATTAATTAATTAAATTGTACTTTATATATCTAAACCCGAATTGATGATAATCCAAGTACAAGTACGTATTAGCTAGCTAGGTAGAGGTAGACCCAAAATATTGATTGCTATATTATGTCTTAATTAATAATAAACTGAATTTAGGTTATAGTTGATTCATCATTTATCCAAAAATAAAAATTCAATCAATTGCATATTTAATTAGAACCGAACAAAAAAAAAAAAAAGGAAAATTAAGTTGACCGACCGACCGACCGAGCGGTTGAAGTATATACGATGGAGAATACCTTGATCTTTCTCGGGCGGTGGGCGGTGGTTGTTGCTACCTTGTGCATGCAGGTTGTTGACGGCGGCTGAATAAAACATGCCGGAGTTATAGCCTTCCTCCGCCGATGCTTGGCCTCTTTCCATGTATATATATATATATATATGCTTTAATTTTTT